ATAGCTTGTTTTTTTTTTTTTTTTTTAAGACTTCTTATCTCACGTCATGTTTTGTACAAAAAAATAGTGAGCCATAAAATAATTTATTACAGTACTTTTGGAACTATGTGGTTAACAAAACCTGAAAAACCATGCACACATTCTACAGTATATAATATTTCTAATAAATCACAGGAGAACCACACTCTTCATTTCCAATGTCATTCTTAAAACAGCAGAATTGCGAGCTCTCCGCAGGTTAATTCAACGTGAATACAGAAATCCTCCAGAAAGCCCCGACGCTTTACCTGTCAGGAGAAGCAGCCCGCTGCAAATCACTCTCACTATTAGTCCTCTCATCCTGCCAAACGTCCAGCCGGAGACTGACACACAGGTGACCGTTCCCAGTGCAGACGTCCAGAGATTTCTTCCTCTCAGTCCCTATCTACTTCTCTCTTTCTAGCTTCCTAGTTTGTTACGTCTTCCACCTCTCAGTACCAAGCGTCCAGGAGTGATTACGGCGGACTCGTCCAGCATGACTCCCCCTCCGCTGGGATAATAATCCTCTGAGCCTCTCCTCCCATCCCAGCTGGCTCCTGTCAGGGCTGAAATCAGGAATGTCTGTCTGTCCGGCCGGCGTGAGCGATTGCTTTCCATGCCAGCCAGAGCCGACTCATTACTGGAGATGTGATTTGAGTCGTGTCCGTGTGGGAAGGTTTCAGCCTCTACGGGCTGGAATAAACTACACGACTTTCCAAATCTGAACAGATTTAACACACTAGGCATCATACAGAGCATTTGCCGACTTTGTAAATAGATACAGAGAAAACTTGGCATCATGCAGTCAGTGCTGGGTTGATTATTTACATATTGTAGTAGATTATTGAATACAGATTACATGCTGAAAATTGCAGTTAGTAACAATCTATTACACATTTTAAAGCTGCATTCCGTAAGTTTTGGCTCTTTGTCGCATCTCTGTTTGAAACCTGCAATTGCAGTTATTTGCGGAATTATCTTCTTTATGTGAGTTGTGCACTGGCACGTCTCCTCAGCGCGGATGAATCTAATGTTTTAAGGCTGTCAGTCAACACACCAGTGTTGGAAGTATGTCCAAAATAAGAAGTTTCACTGGAAAATGTCATCTGAACATGTAAGTAACATGTCTGCCAGTTTTGTTCTGACCAACTGAAAAAAAAAAAGTTTTACAATAAATCGCGCTACCAATGGTGATCAAATCTAACCCAAAAAAGTTACAGAGTGCAGCTTTATGTAATGTAATCGGACTACTTTTTCATTACTTTTGAGCCAATTTGTTTATCACATTGATTTGAATAGAATAAACTTTAGTATAACTACAGTTAACAAACTAAATCCATAAAAAATGAATTTTCATTACTTGAAATAAAATAAAATAAAATATTTAAAATATATATTTAAGCTAGTTGCTGAGGCAACATTTTCATTTAGTTTAACTTGATGTTCTAAAATACCTAAACTTAAAATAAAAATTATATAGAAATTTAGAAAACACTAATAAAAACACCAATAATAGCAATAAACACACAACACTAAACTTCAACCATAACAAGACAAAAAAAGTACAAATAAAAATATGAATAAAAACTATCAATGATACTAAAATAACACTGTCCAATACACATCTAATTTCTAAACTAATTTCTTAAAACAAGATACATTCATTTGAGATGCGAAATGACATAAAATAAAAAGTCTTGTTTTCTGAGAAATTTATAAACATTTTGAAAACTTTGTAAAAAAATAAAATATAAAATACAAAGAGAAATAAAATGTATTTTATTCTTTGTTATCAACAACATCAAGTGCATTAAACATTACATTATGTCATGGTTTCCCAGACTGGGGTTTGTGAGGAACAACTTTTAATTAATTAAAAGTTAATTAACCAACTTTTAAAAATGTTAAATTAAAATAAATAAATAATTTTTAATTAAAAACAAATAAAAATAAAACACTTACTAAATAAAAAAAAAATTTTAAATGCAAAAAACAATTAGGGCGAATCAATTAATTATGAATAATTTACTGCCATTTTGTGAATATTAAGTAATCACTAAAATCAATAAAAATTCAGTAATCAATAAAAAAGTAACTGTAATCGGATTATGAGAATTCTACATGTCCAGATTATCCAGATTACATGTAATCAGTTACTACCCAGCACTGCATACAGTACACTAAACGACTGAGAATCACACTTTCAAGTTGTTCCGAACGCAACAAACTTGCTAAATATGTGACTCGTTGCTAGGAGACGCATGACAAATGTAAACCATATGTGTTCTAAAATCAGCTCAAAATATCAAACATGTTTGATCTCTTCTGATTGGATGGAATCATAGTCTGAAGCTAAAAAATTGGAGTCTGTGTGCATTTCTGTGAACTCACATCTGACTGGCTCTGACTTTTGGCAACTAGCTCATCCAGACTGTAAATCAGAACTTTACATAATAATGTTAACCACAGGCCCAAGTTTACTAATAAAGCTCATTTTCTTTCAGGATTTAGGACTAAAACTGAACAGCTCTGTATAAACTCCCACCTTAGTTTTAATTACAGAGATCCTGTTTAAATCAGTGCATGAAATAGACATAGACATGTGTAACCGGTTCTACTTCACCTCTCTCCGAGCGGGATTTGAACCGCGGTCTCCGGCATGGGAGGCGGGCGCTCTAACAAGGAGGCTAAAGGCCACGGCCTCTCAGGGGAGTGAGGTGCATGCACAGCTCTTACTTGCCTACGACAGTTACACTCACCCCACTACACCTCACTCCCATCCGGGTCACGGCACCAAATGTAACCGGTTCTACTTCGCCTTACTCCGAGCGGGATTCGAACCGTGGTCTCCGGCGTGGGAGGCAGGCGCTCTAACAAGGAGGCTAAAGTTTCAACAAAATTACTAAAACTTTACCCAAATTAAAATGAAAATGCTGAATATTAAAATAAAAACTATAATAGTATCTCACTGATACTAAAACAACACAGTTTGCGGAGTTTTGCAAAACTGTAAATAGTGGCATGTTTTCCAGTGAACCTACACTACGTTGCGCATTCAGCCATTGATATATTTGCATTATTCTGAATGGTCTGAAGTGAAGTCCGGTGGTATATGGAGCGCACTTACACACCTGTGAACCCCGCAGGACACGAGCACTGAAACGCATTGATGAGATCTTCACAGGTGCCTCCGTTTTCACACGGCGTGGACTCGCATTCGTTCACGTTAACTGAACAGTTGTCGCCTGTGAAATAGGAAAGCTCCGGTTAGTAGCAGCTCTTTGAGAAGACAATGTTGTGTCTCAGTGTCACGACCCGTCGTCAGTGCTGTGTCTCACCTGTAAATCCAGCGCGGCACTGGCACAGGTATCCGGCTGCGCTCTCGTAGCTGAAGTCCGTGTCCAGTTCAGGCAGAACTCTGTAGTGACTGGAGTCGGACCGCTGGAAACATACGCCGCCGTTCTCGCACGGCTGCGTTTCACACTCGTCCACGTCAAGCTCACAGTTCTCGCCTTCATAGCCTGAAATAAACAACATGAGTTAAAGAAACTGTGTGTAAACTCGACTTCATACAATACCAGTGTTATTTTAGTATCATTGAGATACTATTATGGCTTTATTAATATTCTGAATCAGGTTTTCCATATTTAATTTAAGTTAAAGTTTTAGCAATTTTTTGTCATTTTTAGTAGTGCTTTTTTCAGTTTTATTTGTAGTTATTTTAGCACATCAAATTAAACTAAATTAAGATGAGCTGAACTTAAAAGTTTACATTTTTTATATTTTATTTCAGTTAACATTTATTTCAAGTAGTTTTGTTTTACCACTATTATAGTTTTTATTTAAGTTCTTTCATTTTAATTGTAGTTAACGTTTTAGTAATTTTGTTGCTGACTGTTTATGGATAGTTAAACACCTACAGCTTTTCAGTAACCTGCCCACATCTTTAACCTCTAGGTCCCATTAAGCAGCATGAAGAAAAGCATATGTGTGTGAAGGGAAATGTAACTGTTAATAAGTTTAAAGTAAGATTAAATAGTTGGGTGAGGTTAAAAGCTCAGGGGAGAAGATTATGACTTTAACAGATGGACTTCACTTGTGCTAATAGCAACTATATACACTGAAACATAAAAGACAATTGTATTTACCAGAATATAAGTAAGGTTTGGTGTTATTTTAGTATAATTGAGAAACTATTACAATTTGTATTTATATTTTGAAATATTTTCTTTCTGTTTACATTTTAATTTTAGCTAAAGTTTTGGCATTTTTAGTATAGTTTTTTTTTATTTCTATATAGTTTTTTTTTTTTCAGTTATAGTTTTAGTAAATTTAGCTCATCAAGTTAAACTAAATTAAAATGAGAAATGTTGCCTTGGCAGTTTTTAATATTTTTTTTATTTCAGTTAACATTTATTTTATTTTTTAATGAAAAGGTTTTTTAAATGGTTTTAGTTTCAGTTTTAGTTAACTATAATAACCCTGGTAATGTTTTTTTTTTTCATCTAAAACATGCTGTACTTACTGTATATTCCAAAGCGACTTATATAATGCAATTAATGTCAAACACGCAAAACACATTTGGATTTGTGTCAAGAGCCCATGTTTATTTCTATAGAGCATTTCCCCCATGTATCAGTTTTCCTTTAAATAAATTAGTTTAGGCTTGGTGTTTATAATAAATGTGCTTTATAATGAATGACACTATAATTTATGTTTGTTTTATACTTGCATTGTTCATTTCTGTTCTGTTCTGATGTTTGTAAACATTTAGTTTTATATTATTTCTGAATGTATTAATAAAAACAAAGCAATTTTTTGCCAGGTGTGACTTTTAATCAATAATTTTCTGGAAAATATGATACATCTACTCCAATACAAACATGCATTCCATACATTCATAGTCTGAAACAGCATTTCATTTGGAGTTTATGGTTCTCTTTGCAATGTCCTACATGTTTCTCCAGGTGGCAGTGTGGTGTAACAGAACATCACTTGATGAGCACAATATGACCCTGAGACATTATTACTGCAATTAATTTGCCATTAAATGAGCCTTTAAATGCATAAATAAACACATAAATGATAAACAGGTTAACTTGAAGACTGGTTACCTGGCCAGCAGAGGCAGGTATACTGGTTAACTCCTTCCTGGCAGGTGGCACCGTGCTGACAGGGGTCAGATGCACACTCTGGTATGTCGTCTTCACAGAAAGAGCCCACAAATCCAGTGCCACTGCATTCACACTCATAGCTGTAATTCAACACAGCAAATAAATCACCACAGACTGAAAAACACATTTCATACACTAGCTGTCTAGCTTTAAAGGACAGAGAGCCAGTTACACAAAGTCAATGTATTTATATGATGTTATACAATCTTACATTGTGCAGCTGTCTCTTTAATACCGCATGGTTTATATACATGTTGCTGCTGATTGGGCTGACATGTTTGACACACCCACCAAACAAGAGAAAACGCATCTCAAACCCTGTTGCACACCGTTGCACACCGTTTCCAGGAAACATGTTGTTCAAAACGGAAACCGTAGCAAAACGGTGCACACCGGTTTGAGCTTGAACTTGCCCCAGTTAAGGCACTGGTTGATTAGTTAAGACACTGATTGTTTAGTTAAGATACTGATTGATTAGTAAAGGCATTGACTGACCAGCCTCAGATTGATTAGTTTTGAAACTGATTTATTAGTTAAGTCACTGGTTGTTTAGTTAAGGCACTGATTGATTAGACAAAGTTTGGTTAATTTTTTTACTTGTTTAGTTAAGACACTGGTTGATTCATTTAAGCACTGGGTGATTAGTTAAGGACCTGATTGACTAGCCAGAGATTGATTACTTTAGACATTGGTTGATTGGTTAAGACAATGATTGATTAGTTAAGACACTCATTGATTAGCCACAGCACTGACTGATTAGCTAAGACACTAGCTAAACAATTAAGGCATTGGTTGATTAGTTAAGAAACTGATTAATTAGCCACAGACTGACTAGTTAAAACACTGGTTGATTAGTTAAGGCACTGAGTGATTAGTTAAGACACCACAGATTGATTAGTTAAAACACTGGTTAATTAGTGATGGCACTGGTTGATCAGTTAAGGCACTGGTTGTGATTAGTTAAGGCCACCTTCCTGGAGAGTTTAGCTCTAACCCTAATTAAACAGCTAATAATAGTCAATCTTAAAGCCAGTTGTGTTGGAGGAGGGTTGAAACTAAACTCCACCAGTCAGGGGCCCTCTGGTTATTGATTAGTTTTCTGAAACCTCCATGATCAGACTGAAGCCGATTCAACTCACTCACCCGTTCACCATATCCAGACACGTTCCTCCATGTTGGCAGGGTGAACTGTCACACTCGTTGATGTTCAGCTCACAGTTGATGCCCTCGTATCCCGGCACACACTCACAGGTGTACAATCCCACGTGATCATGGCAGGTGGCGCCGTTCTGACAGGGATCTGCCTCGCATTCATCAACGTCAACTTCACAGTTAACTCCTGCAGGACAAATCAACATACAGACTCACTCACAGAAGAAACTAGTCAGTGTAGTCCTCTCAAAACAGATGCTGCATGGTTGTGCTGAATACACTGTTGTATTATCTATGTGGCATTGCCATATTTGGAGTACAATTGTATATGTATATGGTAACATTACCGTAGTATGTACTACCAATCAAAAGTTTGCACACACGTGACTAAACTTATGATCGATTTTTTTCATGATTTTTAAAACCTTTTTGGATGGCATTCATGGCATTTTTTTCTGCTTAAATGCCTGAAATAATTTCTGTAGACAAATACATTTCTATAAAATATATATATATATATATATACACCTTGCTACGTGTACTGCGTTAGGCTAACCGAGACTTATCATTTGCACTTATATATTGTTGCTCTTTTGTTAGTTTTGACTGCTTTTATTGTCCTCATTTGTAAGTCGCTTTGGACAAAAGCGTCTGCTAAATGACTAAATGTAAATCTAAATGTAAATGTAAATAAAACTGAAATTTTTATAAAATATTTTAATAAATGTGTTTTAAATGATCATAAATAAATATTTAGCAAATAAATAGTTTTATAAATAAATAAAGAAGTTTATTTCTTTACACCTTTTTAGAAACCTTTTTTGCATAAATGTCTGAAATAATTTTGTAGACAAATATAATTTGTCTATGAATAGATTTGTTTATCAAACATTAATAAAAATGTTATAAAGTTATAAATTATTTTAATAAAATAATTGTACTAAATATGGTTCAATTAATTATATAAATCAAAATGTAAATAATTAATTAAATCATTATTTTAAAATAAATAAATAACATTTATTTGCAGTGAAGCTGGCTGACAAAATGTCTAAGGAAACTCAAAAATAATAGTATTTTTAAAAAATATTATTTTTCATTTTTTTTTAGATATTACTTATTTTTAATGTAATTTTTTTATTAATTTATTATTTTTTTAAATAAATAAATACATACATACATATATACATACATGCATACATATGCAGTAAAGTTGGCTAAGAAAATGTCCAAAGAAACTCAAATATAAGAATGTTTTTATTTTTATTTTTTATCACAACTGTATATAATTCTCTGAATTATTTAGTGACCAAAGAATAAGCAGACTTTTCTATGTAATACTTATTAGATAATGCAATATGCTTTAGTTAATTTCAGAATCTCATGCATTGTAACAATCTTAGAATATCTTATTTATGCTTGTAAATGACGTTTTTTGTTGCAAAAAAAAAATGTACTAAAAAAAAATGAACTGGTAGTGTATATTAAAGTACCATCCACAGTACGGTTTAGACAGCCCTTACCTCTAAACCCAATGAGACATTCACAGATGTAGCGGTCCTTCCCATTGATGCACGTCCCGTTGTTCTCACAGGGTTGGGATGCACACTCATTTATGTCAATGTCACAGTGGTAACCTTGGAAACCAGGCACACAGTAGCATTGATACACATCAATCCCATCCTGACAGATGGCGCCGTTATTGCAGGGCTGTGACAGACACTCATCGATATCTTCTTCACAGTGTTGACCCCAGAAACCCGCGGCACACTGGCACTCATATCCGCTCGGCGCCCACACGCAGGTGGCGTTATTATAGCACGGGTCATCAGCACAGTCTCGCACCCTCGTCCTGCAGTCGTCCCCGCTGTATCCGCTGGGACAGTGGCACGAATATCCGTTGACTCCATCCACACAGTAGCTCTTGAGTCCTGTACAGGGGTTGATCTCACATTCATTGAGGTTTAGGGTGCAGTTGGGACTATCGAAGCCGTCAGGACACAGACAGGTGTAGTTCTCAGTTCCTGGAGTGCTGAAGCAGCTGGACAGACAGCCTGCGTTTTCACACGGGTCGTATAAATGCTCACAGTGTTCGCCTGTGTATATAGGTGGGGTAAAAGAGCAGATGCAGAGGTAGCCGTTCATAGTCGGTGTGCAGGTGCTGTTGTTTTGGCAGGGAGAGGACAGACACACGTCAGATGTGACAGAGCAGAACAGACCTGCGGATACAAACCATGATTAGTATCACACACTACAAGAGCATTTTAACAAAGATGTTTCAACTAAAAAAAATCAGTCATCATTAGCGGATGCTTCTATGAGGTTAAAGGTCAAGTATGTGAGATAAAATGAATTTAAAATTCTACGTTTTTTAGATAAAGTGTGAATGTTGGCTTGACAAAGACCTTGAAAGTTTTGAAAAAAAAAAAAAAACGTTTAAAAAGGACTGAAGTTTGAAGGTTTATAGGTCTCAGAAGATCGACAGAATGATAGATATAGTGACAGAAAAACAGATATAGTGATAGAACGAAAGAAAGATTGAATGATTGAATAGAGCATGGAATAGATGGATAGAACAAAAGAACAATATAGATATAGCGATGGATGGATGGATGGATGGATGGATGGATGGGTGGATGGATGGATTTCATCATCAGGGTAAAAGAACATTTAATTTTCATGATGCATCGAGTGTTAAATGTCTTTGAATTATGATTCAGTAAATTCCTCTTCCTGTCATTCTAATTCAAATCCCAGTGCAACTTCCTGTGTGGCCAAATCAGTTCAAATTCACACTCATGAAATAAAAGAGAGGTGCTTCTAAAACACTGTGTGTAGGAATACCTGTTTGTCTTTCCGCTCACCTGCTGGAGATTTAACCTCTGCACCACACCGTCTACTCAAAGTCACAAAGTAAGAGTAAGTGAGGACAGTATGGAAGATTCACCCTAACAGAGTTAAAGCCTCTTAAAGAAACTTCCCATGAGCGAGACTCTGCCCTGCCGGTGAAGACCACGAGACTTGATGAATCCTATCCGCACAGCAGGCTCTAACCTGACAGTCTATGCAGCTTTACGCCACCAAAATCTCAGATGTGCGACACAAGGGCCTCCAGTGGCATTCAGGACAGGCCCGGTATATGACAGCACTACTAAACACACACATCGGGCTGCTGACTGCAGATTTACACTGGGACTCCTGTAGGATAAAGAGGCTTTGGTCTTCACTAGTACCTCCACCGGCAGATGGGTGACCGTCTTACCAACTCTGACTAAACCTCCACCAGATGCTCCTTCAATGGGTTATCAGCTTGAACGACCACCACTCACTGAGACTAATCCATCCTCACGCACATGATGCAGAAATATACCTGTCCATATAGATCTGCCATTCACAAAGCCTGCGGTGAGATCGGGACCTGTTTGATGTGATTTAGTGCTGATTACTGGTGATTCAGGTTAATTAAATACTCTGGTACATTTGAGAAATCAACTTCAACGGTCAAACTTTTATTGAGATAATCTGATTAATCTACCTGGCTAATGCAGACAAGCTACTTACATAGATTAACCAGCAACCGGTTTCACCAAAGACTGGTCAATTTATGGTTAAAACAAGACAAAAAACGTGGAAAAAATGGACTTAACTCTGAAAACAAGACTTAATATTTTAAATCTTGATCTAAGAATAACTTGGATATTGTTAGTAATATTTCAAGATGAATACTTACTGGATTGAAACAACTCCAGACATAATTTTTTAGAAAAATCATGAGTATGAAATCTGATCATCATCAGGCTTTTGAGGAACGTTTATTTGTTCATCTCTCAATCATAATTGTATTGCATTGCATTAAGCTTTGATTGTCAAACTATGGATGGGTGGATGGATGGATTTCATCATCAGGGTAAAAGAACATTTAATTTTCATGATGCATCGAGTGTTAAATGTCTTTGAATTATGATTCAGTAAATTCCTCTTCCTGTCATTCTAATTCAAATCCCAGTGCAACTTCCTGTGTGGCCAAATCAGTTCAAATTCACACTCATGAAATAAAAGAGAGGTGCTTCTAAAACACTGTGTGTAGGAATACCTGTTTGTCTTTCCGCTCACCTGCTGGAGATTTAACCTCTGCACCACACCGTCTACTCAAAGTCACAAAGTAAGAGTAAGTGAGGACAGTATGGAAGATTCACCCTAACAGAGTTAAAGCCTCTTAAAGAAACTTCCCATGAGCGAGACTCTGCCCTGCCGGTGAAGACCACGAGACTTGATGAATCCTATCCGCACAGCAGGCTCTAACCTGACAGTCTATGCAGCTTTACGCCACCAAAATCTCAGATGTGCGACACAAGGGCCTCCAGTGGCATTCAGGACAGGCCCGGTATATGACAGCACTACTAAACACACACATCGGGCTGCTGACTGCAGATTTACACTGGGACTCCTGTAGGATAAAGAGGCTTTGGTCTTCACTAGTACCTCCACCGGCAGATGGGTGACCGTCTTACCAACTCTGACTAAACCTCCACCAGATGCTCCTTCAATGGGTTATCAGCTTGAACGACCACCACTCACTGAGACTAATCCATCCTCACGCACATGACGCAGAAATATACCTGTCCATATAGATCTGCCATTCACAAAGCCTGCGGTGAGATCGGGACCTGTTTGATGTGATTTAGTGCTGATTACTGGTGATTCAGGTTAATTAAATACTCTGGTACATTTGAGAAATCAACTACATCGGTCAAACTTTTATTGAGATAATCTGATTAATCTACCTGGCTAATGCAGACAAGCTACTTACATAGATTAACCAGCAACCGGTTTCACCAAAGACTGGTCAATTTATGGTTAAAACAAGACAAAAAACGTGGAAAAAATGGACTTAACTCTGAAAACAAGACTTAATATTTTAAATCTTGATCTAAGAATAACTTGGATATTGTTAGTAATATTTCAAGATGAATACTTACTGGATTGAAACAACTCCAGACATAATTTTTTAGAAAAATCATGAGTATGAAATCTGATCATCATCAGGCTTTTGAGGAACGTTTATTTGTTCATCTCTCAATCATAATTGTATTGCATTGCATTAAGCTTTGATTGTCAAACTAAGCATTTAAACATCGTCTTATTAAGACATTTTTGGGGGATATAGAGTGACGACTGATATTTACATGCATTTTTATTGTTATAAAGATCTCACTGATTTACATTACAAGCTATCAGAATTTATGTACACTTTAGATACTAATATGCACTCTTTAGCAGTAAATAACGTACCTCCCCAGTGACAGCTTTTGTTTTTTGTTTTTTCTGAGAGTGTTCAATAAACTCTTGTATTTCATAAAATTAGCTTTTTCTGATTATTATTTCTTATGTCAGGCAATACAGGGTTAAGGATATTGAGTCATTTTTACAGGAAAACAGCAAAAACACTGATCAAGAACATTTCTTTTTTTTTTTGCAAAAAGAGAAGGACACATGTAAACATCAGCCACTGGCCCTCACACTTTCAGTAGACAAGAACAAAGAGAGAAACTGTGTCAAGACGTCTAGTAGTGACTATGAATGACCTACAGTCTCTAATCCAGGATCATCTGGTCTGAGAAAGAGAGAGAGAGGTCAGCTTTAGAGAGAGACTTGAACACAATTCTCTGCTACTTTGTTAGCCACATGTTGTTCGAATAAACAGAAAGATCTGAAGTCTAGACAGGGCAGACAGAGCTTATACAGATGGGCTTCAGAAGCTTCCCTTTCAAATCAAGTCAATTGAAAAACTCTAGTAAACAACATCTCAGACTAGTAGAATAGACTTCAAACCCCCTCACAGAGACGTATGGTATGAACCCTCAGGACAGAAGACTGTATCAGACCCCCGTCCCAAAAACCAGACAGGGGCCACTATAGATCATCCTTTAATAAACACATGCCATTGAGTATTATTTGCTACTTTGGGGTCTTATCAGCAAACACAAGCTTTTACCATGGATACAATTTCATTGAATAATGGTTACGGTAATTTGGGCCTCATCAAAGTCTGCGAACATCTGCATGTTTTCCACACGATTCCAGCATTAAATCATCTATAGCAGACCAATAAAGAGCCATTAAAAAAGCGTAAGTGACCCTAGATCAGATAACTGCACACAAACATACATTCAAACCAATCACAACAAACTTGAGCTGAAGTTTCCCCAAATCCTGTTTTGATTAAAACTCTAAATCTGTCCGTAATGAACACACAGGTACAGCAAGTCTCTTGCTTAAAGGCATTTTATATGCAGGCTTTTTCTGTCTTGTTATTGTCATATCCAGTCAGAAACATATTCCATATTTCAACCAACTGCTGCTACCAACTTCAGAACAAATGAGAGTCAAATTCAAGAATCTTCATTGAATATTCAGGTTATTTTTACATAATAAATAGATTGAAAAACCTGTTTGTATACTGTATACAGTACAGTATATAGTATCATCGTTTGCTCTTTTTGAGTCCTAATAGTTCAGATATGCTGTAAAATGTACAAATTAGGTAGAAATGCCTTCTAAGGCCATTTTCTTTCACTCTTTCTTAATGAATACCAACTTTAAACTATTTTATTCATACACTTTTCTGTGCTTTACCTCTTATTTGAACTCAAAAGTACACATTTTCAAAGCAGCCTCACAGAAAATTATGATGTTAATGTTTATAATATTTTTCTTCATGCCTTATAGTTGCATTTAGCAGATTAGACAACACTAGAGTTACATTGTGCGACAATACAAGCAATCAAGCATTTGAGATTTGCTATATATTGTAAAAAGCTTAATATGAGTGTACTGTATGTATGCAAATAAAATGGACGTACTTATACAATTTTATATAAAGAGTTGGGTGATAGTAGTTATATTTGCAACAAACAATCAAGCACTTGCTATACAGTTTTTATTGCTTTGCATGAGTGTACTGTACATATGTAAATAAATTTGGATATCATATATATCCAACTTTACATACAGAACTGTGTGATTTTAGTTATTGTTTGGCGACTGATGTAAACAATCACGCAGCCGAGATTTGCTATTTATTATGTATTGCTCTGTGAGTATGCAGGTAATAACATGTACTATATATATCCGACTTTTAATATATCGCTGGGTGATCATTTCGAATGTCTTTTTACATATGTTTATATCTCATTTGTAAACATAAAGAGATTGTGTT